TCATAGTTTCCTGACTACATATGAGCTAACCCACTTGTCAAACACTTTTATTCTTTTGAGGAAGAATGCAGGAATAATTAGGTTCTGTCCTTCCACCCACCCCAGATATATCAGGATACATATATACATAAGCACCCAGAAATCTCCCTAAACATCTCCCTGAATGCAGTATTCAGTGCAGGGGGGAACCACAGCCTGCAAGGGGTGTGGGGGTTTGGGCCAAATTCTACACCCGCCTCAAGGAGAACCAGGCATGACGTGATGAGAGAGCAATGCTCCTGTGTGCTGCGCCCACTCTGCGCCAGGCACGGCCACCAGCCTCTCTCCCCCATGGAGCCCTGCGGGTGGCTGTTATTCCGCCCTAAGACCCAAGGCCCAGAACAACTAAGCAACTTTCCGAGGCCTCCCTGCCCAGCCTCAGGGCCTCGCCCCTAACTGCGTCACTGCACTGCTTTTCCAAACCTAAACTCAGACCTCAGAGCTGGGCCCGGACTCCCGGCTGGAGGGTCCTGTACCCAAGGGACCAGCGTTCTCACATTGCCTGCTTTTGATCAGCCATGTGAAATGGAAACAATTCACATAAAATGCACCTTTGTCTTCTTTTAAAAAATCATGTAGCCACACTCTAACCCAAGTTACATGCTCACTCTAATTGTTTTCCCAAACACCCCAGGTTGTTATTTTGGAAGGCACAGTAACAAAATAAACAAATCCAGAAAATGTGGAGTACAAGATAATTTCATGATCCTTTTGAACTCCGTTTTGATTTACCCACAGTCAAACTGCTTCTGAGGGAGGATCCATTCTTTCCTTCTATAAACCCACCCAACACTGAAAAAAATTTTATAGTTATAAACCCAGATCTCTTATTCAATACCACTTTTCATTTTATCGTATCTATTTTATATTCCTATGTACAAAATCCTGGGCATCATAAGAAACTCTGAATATATCAGAAAGTGGACTTGAAGCTCATATATTATACAATTTTATTATTTTTCTATTGGGAGATTTCAAATACCTTAGATAGCAAGTAAAAAACAAATGATAAATTGTAATAATAGTCTTAGGGGAAAAAATAAGGATCCTCTAACCTTAAGTCTCATAATGAGAATATGAAAAATAGATGTGGAATTTTTAAGAAAGAGAAATTTTAAAGCAGAATTAAGATGAAAACGAAATAGTTTTAAGATAATGGAAATAAGAAAAAAGCAAAATTATTTAATATGAAGTAAATGAGTACTTTTAAAAATAGCTTTAAAAACCAACAGTCTAAATTGTTGAGTGAATGGTGTTACATCACTGGTATACTTATTGTAATTCTTAACAAGAACATTGCAAACCTATTACTACCCTAGTAGCACTGCTCATCATTGCTCTCTAACACCCGATTTTCAAACAAATCCATTTACAGACTTTGGACTTGCAGTTTTCAGAAACAAGGCATAAAGAATTTGAAGTCACAATGACTCAAATGTAGGGCTTTCTTTCATAGTGGGAAGTTAAAATGGGTGGCCATTAAAGGTATTTTAGTAATACTGGTAAGGATTACACTTTTAAAAAATCTGCTTTCTATACTAAATTCCAACACCTTTTCTGGTGTGCATTTGAGAAACAAAAAGCTAATTAAGGCCTAGAGCCAGTCACTGGGCAGCCGGACGAGCCTTGGAATTCTCCGAGCCCTTCTGGTCACTTGTTCCTGTGGCCTCACATTGTCACCTCACTCGCCCGGGGTACAGCAAGGTCCACAACGAGTCACAGCCACATCACCAAGTAGTCCCTCTTTCTGGCGCTGTGACTGAGGTCTCTCAAGAAACCACTACGTGCCTGCTTTCCCCACTCCCTCCTCACAGGTCAGTTTCACAGGGTCTGTCTCGTCCTCCCTGGGCCAGGCCCCCAGGCCAGGACAATACCTCCTCCTTACTGTCAAAGGCAAACAGGTTGCTAAGGACGATTCTTTTTTCTCCTGTTTACAGGGTCCAAGAGGTCCGCACAGATGGGAACTGTCCACACCAGCCCCACTGGCTTCCGTTCCATTGAACAGCGCAAGCCATTCACATCTGGAAAAATGTTAAGTCTTTGATGTAAGAGGGACAGTGGACAGGGTGAAAGGGAAAGAGAGGGTTTTTCTCCTGAAAGACAAAGTTTTCCCTATGTACGATCATCACACTGAACAAGCACACATGAACACACACACACACACACACACCCCTTTTTTCCTTCTGGAGTCTGGATGCTTGGAGTACATCTTACTGTGGCGTTCACGGTGGCATGCTAGGTAAGGTGCTCTCTTGGGGCAGGAGTCTACTGACAGAAAACAGAAATCCCAAACTATCTAACCCCCGAGAAAGAGCATTCCAGGTCCTCGTGACAGTGGGAATGTAAATGATCAGGTCATTAACTGGAAATACTAACTTTATAGAAAGCAGTCAGTGTAACCCATCTCATTCCTAAAACCTCTCACAACCTTTACTACGTCCCAACCTTCATATATTATAAAATTGCAACCTATAATTCTAATCTTTTCTTTACATGCGCCCATACTGATACTTAATTATACTTCTGAAGGAAGATTCACATTCTACACACAGTAGCTGCATTCTGCTTCGGGGCGAGAAATATCCCAGCTTTTCGGTGTGAGCTATTGTGATCAATGTGCTCCTCTGCTCTGTCTTATGGTGGAACCTCTGTGGTCTAGGTTCCCCTGGGGATGTGCTTGGATTCTTTTCTGAGTCCGAATCTTTCGACACTGAAATGTTTCCAGGTTGCTGGGAATACCCCGTGCCTTGCTAACCCTCACAGACCTAAGGCAACCCTTCCTTGATCATGTAAGGGCCTCCACTGTGAGCATCAGTTACTGTGCTGGGCTACACGGTCACCTCACACTTTGAGCAGAGGAACTGCTGCTCACAATGAAGACTCAGATGACCAGGAAATGGTCGGGCTCTTCAGAGTCCTTCTCTTCTTTGGTGCTTCTGTCCTAATTCTCAGCTGTCCACTGCCACTGGGAGCTGGGTCCTATCTGCTTGTTCACTGCACAGGGCCTTTCCTATATGAAGGGGTGAACAATGTTTGCTTATGAAACATGTGACTAAGGGAGACTGCTGGCTGGCTGGAGGGATGTGAAGTTTACCATAGTGTCCGTAGGGGTGCTGCGGAATAACCTGGGTAAGGGAGGAAAGAACGTAACGTGGCTTAACGATCTCACACTTGGTGAGTTCGGCCCCAGAGGCCTTGGGAAGGAAGGCTGTTTCCCAGTGTGCACTCCGGTGTGAAAGCAGCTTTGGCGAAGTTAGAGACATCAGCTGAAACCCTCTCAGCTCCTCTGCCGCTCTTGGACTCGATTCTCCAGCAAGCCTCAGGCTGTTCTGTTCAGAGGCACCCGTGGGCTTCTGGCAGCCCCATCACCCTCCACTCAGGACCCTTATGTAGAAAGTCAGCGTTTACCTGCCGTTCTCACCACACTCTTCAAAGCGCGCTAAGTCCTGGCCCATGGAACGGAGATCTTTCTCCTCAGAGCCACAGCTCCCAGGCGAGGCTGCGGGGGGAAGATCGTGGTCCTCCCCAGATGACGCAACTTCAGCCCGTCTAGATGCCGGGAGAGAAGTTCAGTCCTTACTGACAAAGGGTGCTCAGCGGGAGTCCCTCCCGGGACCCCGACAGGGAATCAGTAACTTGGAAAGGGGCACAACCCCACAGGTGAATTAGGTACAATAGCAGCCAAGGTCAGAATCCAAGGAGCCAAAAGAGTGGAACCACAGGCTTGTAAAACTAGAAAAATGTCTTTATTTCAAATACATGATAACAAGTTTGCCTCAAATTTTATTGAGGCTTTGGTCATTTTTGCATTCAATTATATCTTGTAACAGTACGATGAAGTCATATACTCTCATAAAGTGTTAACAGTATTCATAATATTCATTCCCTTGTGATTTTAATATTTTACAATTATTTTTCAATTTAATGTTACAATTATTTTTTAAAATTCTCTTTCATATAGAAAATATATATTTTGTTCAGGAAGACCAGAACAAGGATTTTCCAGTAAGACTATACAGAGACACAACAAATGCAAACATTTATACCAAAATACCAGTGATTATTCAGCTATTGAAAATATCCTGTCATAGTCTAATTAGAAGTTTGCTGAAGAACAGTACTGTTTTCTATTGGTCTTCTGAATAATGATTAGACAAACAGAAAGAGAAGTAATTTTAAGGTTAAAAAATAAATTTTAGAAATGATTCTCCCCACCCTAATATGTATAGAAAATGCAATTTCAACATACGTCTCTTCCAGAAAATAATCTTTAAAATCTTTGTGTAAAGTGACTTGGATACATAATTGGCATGAAGTGAAGTCAAAATCTATAAAATAAGCCCTGGCCAGTGTTGCTCAGTGGTTAGAATGTCAGCCATCGCACCAAAGGGTGCAGGTTCGATTACTGGTCAAGGGCACGTACCTGGGTTGCAAGTTTGATCCCCCGGCCCAGTCGGGGTGTGTGCGGGAGGCAACCAATCAATGTGTCTCTTTCACATTGATGTTTTTCTCTCTCCCCCACTCCATCCCTTCCTCCCACTTAATTTCTTTAATTAAAATTTATTAATTTTTTTTTAAAAAGAAAAAGAGAAAAAAAATCTATAAAATAAACTCAGGTATCATGAACAATGAAGTCCAAAGCATTAGCTGAGATAAAATCCTTAGATGAGGTAAAGGCAAGTAAGAGCTTCCAGGACTTTAAGATGTTCATTATCCCTAAAATGATGAGCTATTGTCCTAAGGTGCAAATCTGATCACTCAGGGACCTACATGATGTTTGGCTGTTTATCTCCTTTTTAAATAAAATACCATGCAGGTTATCATGTACATATCAAAAGCACATATGGAAGCACATATATTTGAATGAGACAAATTAATTTTCTCATGATGTAGGAATCCTAGAATGCTATCTGGTCATTTCAACTAGATGCTGATATATTTGGTCAGGAATATCCACATTCATATTAGCCTAAGGCAGGCGTGAACTATGTTTATTTTGATTATAAGCAGAAATATAAACAGTGTATGTTACCGTTTGATACTACTGGAATGCTCTCGGTTAAAACTTACATGATAACAAACGTGTCTGTCTTTCTAATCTGGGTGAGAACCCTAATAAAATATAAATCTACAGGTAACAGTCTATAACTTAGAGTAGTAGATAACGTGGTGGCAGATTGTCACACATGTCTACCTCCATCTAGAACATTTCATGGATCTCACCAGCGGAGGAAACCGGCAAGAGTCTGTTGCTTGGACTCACTGTGCCGTCCTGGCCCCTCTCTGACTCCGCCCGACAAGCAAGCCTCAACCTATGACAGCGCGCAGTCTTCTTTGCTTTTGTCCTTCTCGCTTCTGCCCCTCGTCTCTTCTTTGCGCTCTGAATGGGAGTCCCCTGACTCCCTTGCTGGTGCCAAGTCATCGTTTTCTAGACTAGCGCTACCTAAAACCTTTCTGACTCCCTGGCTTGGACCCTCGGACATCACACAGCCCTCTGTACCTTCTGTTTGCGAGGCGGCGTTAATGTCCTCGGAGGGACTTCCATTTCCGAGCCGGGCGCTGCTTGGCAAGTCTTCATTCTCTGGGGGGCGGCTGGGAGCAGTACCGGCTCCTTCAGCGTCAGCTTTCACAGCTCCTTCCTCTGATCCCTCAGCACGGGCCCTGCAGCCTGAGGCCTGAATGGTATCACCTTCAAACAGTTCTCCATCAGCTCTTCCTTTCCCCGCCTCGGCGTTTACATGGCCATCTTCGTGGTTCAGTTTTCCAGCCAGCTCCACCTGAGGGTCCTCTGGAAAGCCCAGGTTGTCACCGCTCCCGGCCACAATGCTCTGTTTTGGATTTCCAGTGACCTCATTTGGATTTCCAGTGACCTCATTTTGTGTTTCCACACCTGAGTTTTCATCAGGAGATTTCACCTGCTTTTCTTCCTCAGCTTCACTTAGATCTGGGTTCTGAAATGTTAACTCTTTCTTAACATCCTTAGGGGTTTCTACAGGTGCCGGTGACTTTTTCTTCTTGTTTTTCTTTTTCTTGTTTTTCGTCTTCTTTTGGGATGAACCCAATCCCTCTCCCTGTGGGTCGTTCTTTTCTTCACTGGGTTCTCTCTTGGCCTTTACCGTATGTGCACCTGCTGCCTCCTGAGCACGGGCTGCTGGAGAAGAGGGACTGGCCGGGACTTCTGTCTGGACTGGTTTCTCACTCAGGAACCCCCTCCCCTCGTCCTCTTCCTCACTGTGCTCCCCCCCTGCTCCCGTGCTCGGAACTTGGACCTCCCTGGGTTCAGCCCCTTCCTGGTTGGTGAGCTCTTTCTCTAAACCTGGGCCCAACTCTGTGGGGACGTCTACTGCACATGTGTCATGACTCCCTGTGTCATCGCTATACCTGGGAGGACGTGAGGCCACTGTGCCCGCTTGCTCCTCCAATCCAGCTAGCCCTGCCTCCACCGCACCCTGGGAGCTGCTCACCTTTTCAACTTCAGGTATTTGCACAGGAGCAGACTCCTGATGTGGTTTTGTGCTAACCTCTCCCAAACTGGTTTGAACATCTTGCTCTTCTTGTTCCTGTTTTTCTGCAGCTTCTTCACTTTGGTTTTTGACATCCACGGCATTCTGGCTGCCCTGCCCAGTTGCAGGACCCAGGGTTTCACCATCTGGTTCACTCGAACTCTTAGACTGCTCAAGGGGAGCCCCAGTCCTAGCATCCGGGGTGCTTGTGAGCTCCCTGGACTCAACCTGCTCTGCATGTTCAAGGAAGGACGTGCTCTCTAGAACTGGGCTTCGGACCTGTCCCTCATTTGTAGCTATTGTTCCTAGGGAGGGGGCACTGTCTTCAGAGGTTTTCCGGTCCTCGGCACTGCCACCAGGAGGCAAGGCCTCAGTGTCCACACAATCCTCTACGGGGTCCTCTTTGTGCTGTTCCTGCTCAGTATTTTGCAAGATTTCTCTTTTCCCCACATTCTCCACAATTTCATTTTTCACCTCCACTGCAGTGGCTTTTCCTAAAAGACCATTGAGAAAATTGAAGGGACCCCATGATGTGACCACTTAAAATACATGACAAGGTAAACACAAGTTCTCATCCCCACCCAGCCCCACTCCTCGAGAGAGTCAGCACAGAGTCACCCGGAACAGAAGCCCGCCAGCTCTGTGCCACGAAGCAGCCACCGCACCCGCCCACAGCCACCGGCCAAGGCCATGCCACCGCCTCACGGCGAGTGGCTGCTGGTGCCCTCTTGTGTGAACTCATTTTCAAAGGTGAAGCTAAGTTTTAACAACTAGAAAGAGCTCTGGATCAGGCAGCCGGACAATCCAAAATGATGGGTTTTAAGGCCTTCAGGCGGGTGTTCCCCATGCTCATTCCCAAAGGCACGTCTGAAAACTCACACGTTGTCAGCTCTCAAGCTGCACTGCGGATCCCACGGCCCTGAAGGCAGCCTCCAATCAGTTTTAAAAGGAACATTCAGTTTGTCTTAAAAACTCAGCCTCGAGGTGAGTCTTGAGGAAGATACTTTTGCAATAGCTCAGACAAGGTAACAAGAAACCCACTCTCCTCCACCTGACCGCTGTCTCCCAAGAAAGTGGCCTGTGCCCCAAATACCTTCCCTCCATTCCTTAAGGGACAGCGAGTCCCAGCGGGAGGCAACGCTTACATTAGGATGACCACTTAGCTTAATAATAAATGACTCATCAGTTAAAAGATTATGCATTAACAAACATGTCACTGCTTCGGAATGAAGTTATATTTTGGATTCTTCAGACAAACAGAACCGCAACATATAAGATACCAAATCACTGAAGGTCAAAGCCCGACAATTTCATGACCCAGCGGTCTCCACGGTGGGTGCGCTGACCCGGGGAAAAGGGGGAAAGTAGTAGGACTTCCATCTATGGTTAGTTTTGCTTCACCCTTTAAAGATTTCTATCAGTGCTGGTTTTATAATGTACATTTATATTAATGAAAGCTTATATGTATTTAAGTTAAAAATAGACGTATATATTGGGAAGTGCCCACAATTCTTTACTGTTAGTGATTAAAGAACTTTTGGAGACAACTTATAAAACTGGTATTTCTGGTTCTTTAAGTGTCTGTTTCACAATGATTATCCAGGACTTGTAAAATGTGTATTTGAACAAGAGCAGCAAGATCAAATTCTTAACTGCTCAGCTAGCTAGTACAAAGGTATGGTGGACATAACCAATTTATGTTCTTTCAGCGACCTTTACAGAATTAAAAGAGCTGTATATTCTTTCAGTGTCATAAAGAGAGTGAGGCACCCCTGGGAAGCAAGCCCTGAGGTTTCTGCATTTCCATAAATAAAAAGGAGTAAGATGAAAGGTTCCACATGGAAACCACAGTTGCGGCCTGACCCCACTGTGGCCTCACTCTAAACCTGGGACACACAGGTGACCAGTGAGGCCCCACATGCGGTGGCAGCTTCAGGCTGCACATGATTCTGAAGCGTTATCCTCAGGCCAATTATTATGACAAATATTAATCGGTGAGCCTTTCAGATATTCCTACAATCTACTGGAATCTCAACTTACATTCTTTCAGAAGCAAAAATGTGACATACATGGAAACGTCACCTCTGACAAAGGGGCAGATATATCCAATTCTCACTGGTAGAGAACACCATACTGCCCACCAGGGCCCCTGTCCCTGCCCCTCTCCACCAGGGCCCTGTGCCCCCCTTCACCACTCCTCCAGGGCCACCTGTCCCTCTCCCTCTCCACCAGGGACGCCTGTCTCTCTCCCTCTCCACCAGGGCCCCTGTCTCTCTCCCTCTCCACCAGGGCTGTCTGTCCCTCTCAAGTGCTACACTGAGAATGGCAACCAAGACCTCTGTCACAGCCTCCACTTGTTGTCCACAGACACCTTAACCCCTCAGAGCATCTCATAGGATGTGCCGTGTTGGCTTGCAAAAATGGTTGACTAACTTGATTTACAGCCTCTGCTATTTCCACCTTTGGGCAACTCCATAACAGAGTAAGTTAAAAAGCCACCCTTGGCACATGTCCGAGGAAAGACAAGTAGCACTATCAAAACTGTCACTTGATTTTGAGACGATTTTCCTTGCGTTCACAGTCTCATGTGGCAGCTCTGAGAAGCAAGAGAAATGTATCCCCAGCCATGGATGGGGAGCACTGGTCAGAGGTGCACGCCAGACAACACGCGTGGGTGATCACATCGTGCGCAAGGAACTCCATGACGAGACAGACAGGTGGCATGCGGTGTGACTGTTAATGGGCAGTGATGACTGCTTCGACCCTGACAACGCAGTGAGGGTGAGCCAATGCTGCCTGGGGTGACAGGAGCCAGGAAAACAAGGACTTACCTAGGGTCCCGTCCCCCGTCACCTTGAGGGCATTCAACTCTTCTTTTGTCATCTTGGTAGGACCTGGGTATCCAACACTATTTAGGGTGTCTGAAGTCTCTCCATTGGTAGCTGTTTCTGAATTTAGGATTATTCCATGTTTCTGGAACAAAAACAGGCTCGTCGTAATACTCACTGAGTGGTGTTAGCTTAAACTCTATTAATAATAATTTCAGAAGAAGCTATTTTTCCTGAAGTCGGGGAAAATTCTACAGAGTCAAGAAGAGCTCGGCACCACCCTCGTGGCTATTCTTTCTATTGACACACAGATCCAGACTCTCCTGCAAGGGCTGGTCCTTCCGCAGGCCCCCACCCATGTCCTGATGTGCGGTGACCGGGCGCTTTCAGCGGGAGCCCTTTTAAACTGGAGGTGAGGCCTGCAGGCTGCCACCACAGGAAGCTTTGAGCAAGTCATGGTAAGGTGAACCTGACTTTTATAAGTACCGCGTGCTAACCGATTGCGCTACTGGAGCTCCAAGTGAACCTGACTTTTAAAACCCCGGATGGATTCTTTATATTACAAAGAGATACAGAGAAAAAGAAAGAAATGTGTACATGTTCGGGAAGGAGCGATGACATTTAAGTTAAGGAAGGAATTAGGAAGTGGCTAGGATGCCTGGCATACTAAAAAGAAATATAACTTGCCGTGGCCAGTGTGGCTCGGTTGGTTGGAGTATTGTCCTGAGAGC